ACTCTTGTCCAGCAGCCTCACAGTTCTTTACACGTTAGCGCCGTCCATCAATGTTTTCTTCTGTCTCTTCGCTTCGGCTATGTCAATGGAGGTCACGGCTCTGTTGCCCGCTTGCCCAAGTCCGGCTCCGGCATGACACCGGCTCCACTCTCCCATTAGCATTTCCCACTTTCTCCACCTCACCCTGGTCCTGAAAACCTCATCCTCCCAGCAGCCCGAAGCTTCTTTGCTAGTGGTGTAAATATCAACACTCCCCCAGTGGTTTGAGGTCCCAGTCCAGGCAGCACAGACTGAGCTTACTTGCTTAGCAGGTAACTTACTTTAGCAATACGTAAAGCTTTCTGTCCATCAGGGAACTCTGTAAATCACTAAGAGCTGAGGCAGAGCAGCCGGAGAACATCAGAGGTAACCCAACCCAAGTTATATAGTGGGAGAACATGAATACAGGACGTAGAGTGGGAATGACCAAGGTACCATTCACCGTAATACAAGTCAGTGGAGCATCAAAATCATATTTATTTTTTCAAGTTAGGACAGCTACATAATGTTGCTTTAAGTGACATGCTGGTATTTTAAATGCAATGTCTTACCTCATCATTAACTGCACTTATCTAATAATACCCGCTAACAGCCTCATCCATCCTCCCTGCTTTTGTGTTTGCATGTTTGGCATTACTAAAGGCAGCGCCAGCGATCCTGCACTGCCATCCCCTCATCAGTACACACTCAGCAGCCTTCACCAAGGGGAGGAACAGTACTCTTCTACCACCACCAGGTGGCAATGTTCTACCTCTCACAACCATTCAAACTTAACTGAGCCTCAGGCTGACTCCCCCAGGGGGGTAGCAGCTCAAAAAAGCACAACTTCATGGTCAAATCAAGGACACACTGATTCTTTCAGGGAAATCAGGAGAGAATTAGGAGAGGCCTTGAGTGAGGATTCCGAGGACTCAGACACCGTCTTTTCTGAACAGCTCTCTGTCTTGTCCCGGAGACTGAATGAAAGACTCAACATGGCACCTCCTCGACGGCAGGCATCCTCACATCAGCCACAAGACAGAAAGTACAGAAGTCTTTGCTCTCGGAGCAGCTTCCCAGATGAGCTCAGAGTTTGGGAGGAGGAGAGAGGAGATGGGGATGAGGACAATTATGAACATGGCGACCTAGAGAAGAGGAGGCCTAGGAAGTGGGATCAGGAAAGAAGCCATAGAGAGGAATATGAGGGTTTGCACAGGAGCAGAGATCAGGATAGAGACTCTAGGTTAGGTGAGGTGAGAGAAAGGCGATGCAGTCGCAGTCAATCTGTCAGGCATCATGACCGGAGTAGACATAACAACAGAGACCTAGCAAGAACTTGGAGTTACAAGGACAACCCTGACAAACATGTCAGTTTTCAGGACGACACCAGGAGCTCTAACAGGCAGCGGGGTGAAAGCAGCAGTGTCTGGGAGATGCTAGGCCAGGTCCTTAGAGAGAGGGGTGTGCCTGTGAGGTTTGGCAACAATGGGGCGCCACTGCAAATAGGGCCCCAAAGCAGAGATAGCCAGGTGCTTCACGGGAGTGAGGTCTCCTGCGGAGACTCCCAACCACATCAGAGAGTCTTCCAGAGAGCTGCCGCCACTAGGCACAGTTTCCATGGAGATATCAGGGAGAGGAGGAGAATGTCATACCGAGAAAACAGTGGGAGAGATCACAGAGAAGACCGAGACAGGCACCGTAATATTGTGGAGCATGATGGAGAGGTTTATGAGATTAGAAGTGGAGCTTCTTATCTTGCTAACAGAGATATGGGAAGCAGTACAAACTGGAGAGAGCACAGATTTACTAACCATTCCGTGAGGGAGAGGAACGCAAATGATTGCAGGGTCAAAAGGACAACAAGCGAACGCAGTCATTGGCACAAGACCATAGATGAAAGGTTAAGCACAGAGGAGGAGCAGGAGGTGGAGAGGAGAGTAGAGCAGCCCTGCCGAAGAGCCCCACAGCGTAGCCAAAGCCTCAGCAGCAGCAGGGCCTCAACCAGGAATAGGTCAAGGCACATGGCAGCAGGTAACGCCCAGAACTGCAGCCAACTGCAATCTGCAGAGCAAAAGCTTCCAAAGCTGTGCTCCCTACCTCTCTGTGTGAATCTGCTCTTCTCATCTTCCCTCAATCATCGCCTTATCTGGAAAAATTTGGGTTTAAGTGGTGATTTGGGGTTTCTTACTGAAGTGGGACATTTTTCTCTCCATATCTATAATTCCAGTAGTCCTGAAATAATCTTCAGTGTGTGCTTTCATTCTCATCTTCATCCTCATCATCATTCTTCCAGCCTTGATGCTGCAGAAATAAGTTGTAATACATATGTAAGTCATAAAAATCTAGCAACGTGCCTTTACATGCTGCTTCTTCTCATCTGTTGGTGTGATTCAGAGCACTTCCATGATTCATCTTTGTTTTTCACTTTGTCATTGTCACGTTATTTCCTTTGAAATTGACACTGTCAAACCTCATCTGTAGGAGGGTCACCGCATCCATTTCTTGGTGAGGCAAGCCTAAATCTGGGGGAGCTGCAGCAGGTCCTAAAGGATGAAGAACTGGCTCGCAGGCTGCAAGAGGAAGAGGAAAAGCTGTTGAGGAGGGTAAGCAACCCTAGAGTCATGACATACTGCGATTCAGGAGTCAAGGAGATCAGTTTCTCTTTGCATTAATATTATTATTTTTTCTGACTGTTACGGTCTTGTTTTTGCAGAACTCTCAGCCCTCTCCATGTAGTGCTTACCCAGAGGGAGACTTCAGAGTAGCACAAGTGGCGCAGGATGAGGTGCGATAATGAACTGAATTGATTTCAGTAGCTATGTATATCATGTTAACATCCATCTGTGGAATAATGTATTATTGTGTTTTTGCACTAGGAAATTGCACATTTTATGCAGAAGCAGGAAATTAAGTCAAAGCGTAGATCTCGTGAGCTAGAAGGGCCGGCATCATGGCGCGAGCACAGAGCGATGATCAGTCACCATGAGAGACGAGCTACAAGAGACAGACAGGTGAATGTGTGGTAGATATTGGAAAACCGTTTCAGCATCCACAGATGGTCCATGTTGTTGTTATGCATGTCTTTTGACAGATCCACTTCACTCTTTGACACTACAGTTCTTTCACTTGCCTTGCTGTAATCTATTGTTGTTTTCATGTGCTATATTTTTTTTTTAAATGAGGTAATTCAATGAGTTGGAATCTCCATTGTCCACTACCTTAGGTCCAACGAGAGAGGCTTGACTCAGAGGGCCTTCCTTCCCCCACTGAGGACTGCTCCCCAGAGAACCAGCCACCCAGCCCCACCTCTACTATACCGTAATTGTCCAGATATAGAGTACTTGAAACTGATGGATGTCTGTATTGTTACCATATCTTTCATTTATGTTATATCCTCACTTACAACTTCTGTGTTTACAGACAAGCCCAGCAGATCAGAAACATTGCGGAAGAGCTGGACCCAACCTTCCAGGCAAGGAGGCAAGGCACAGATAGCCTCAGAGTGGAACAAACAGGTACTTTAAACAGGTCAAATCAGCTCTCAAAATTAAACTGTTAAAACAATAGCCGGATACTCACATCCGTTTTTTCTCTAAAACAGGTCCATCCTGTCAGTCACTTCCCATGCCACATTCTGGCTTGCATGAGTTCCTCGAGGAGCCTACTTTCATCCCACCCACAAAACGGCAAACAGACAAATCAGGACGCACTAAACCCAAAGACAAGAAGGAAAATTGCAAGCAACAATAATTTTCAATACTTTTATATACTATATTTTGTAACACTAAATATCAGTTCAGCAGAGTTCTCATTACTTTAAGATTGAAAAAGACAATTTCTCTCTACAGGCTACCCCTACTAGCACTTTAGACCAGTGGAACAAAGAGAAAGAATTGAGAGAAGTGACATTTTAAAATATTTGTCGATTTTAAGTGAATAATGACAAACTTTGGACTCGTGCATTTATATTTGTCAAAGGGAAAATTTATGGTTATTTAAGTATTGTTTGAATTCATCAGTGTTAATGAGTGTTTAATTTAAACAATTTTAAATGTTTGTAACTTTTTAATTGTTTTCAATTTGTTAAGCAGTATACAATGACCATCCAAAACTGTCAAATGACAAAGTAACTGTGATAACCTTTGACCCTGAGTGACGTAGTTTACGGACAAACTACTTTTAGACATCCACCTTTGGAGTGTCTACCATTTTTTTCAAAGCAGTTTGGCAGGACACCAGCCATGTTTACAGTAATAAAATGACAATCACATTAACTTATTTACCCTTATTAAATGGAAACCACATTTGTTGAAAAAACATATTACAACCGTCCAACTATGTTAAATTGTTTTGTAATATCCAGATGTAAATATATCCTTTTAGGACAGTACAGTATATGTAACAAAGTAATCTTAGCTCAAAGGACCACTTACCAGCTTTTTGGAAGTTTGAGCTCAGTCTCACATCAGACGCCAAAGACCATCCTTGAACTGAGACAGGGTTTAGGTCCCCCCCCCCCATATACATCCAATTGTTAGTGTGACTGAATTTCCATTCTTGAACCACATTATGACACCTGAGCCAGCTCCATTTTCTGAGTGAATCCTTTAAGATGTGGTTAAAAGTTCTAGAAAGCTTATAAGTGGACCTTTTTTTAAGCTTAGATTATTTGGTATATATCCACCTCATATTTTTGTATATTTTGCCAGCTAGGTTTTAATCAGTCCAGATACAATTAGGATGCCAGTTAACATTATTCATTATACAGAACACTTGCTCTAACATCAGATTTGATTTGATTTTTACATGTTGAACTAATCATTGGTCTCAGATTTTGTTTGGTTTTTTTTATGTTCATAATACTTCTATGTTTAAAAACCTTTTTGTTGTTTGTTTTATTTGTTTTTTACAAATGAAATATGCCACTGTTCAGGTGGAACACTATGAATGCAATAGTTCTGTATGAAAATGCAACAAATAAATAAAGAAAATACCCATTTTTTTATTGGCTGTTTAAAGAGGTACAAAGATATACAAAAGACATAGACAAGTCATAAAAACATCAAAGGCAGAAAGATAAATTCACATAAATAAGTGCAATTAATCAAGTAACAGTTGACAGGTGAAGTGCTACAGTTCTTTTGAAAATGTTCCTGTACAACTTGTACTGTAATTTGGTATCTGTTTTAAAGGCACCCCTGTGAACTTTGTAGTCTTTCAACAGACTTCACTCAAGTTGTGACTCACTCACTGATGCATTACTATAGGTGTGGGCTAACATTGCCCACAGCATATTTCTCAAATGTTCCATTTCAGATACGCCTGCTACAGTTCAGAATACACACGTTTTTGAGAAGCGTTCCACTGGGTCTGTCTTGCTGCCCACTCCATTATGCTAGACAATTAGGCAATAAGAAGTACAGGACTGACTCGGGGGGTTTCCACATGACCCTTGAGCTGCATTTTGATGTCTTGTGCCACATAAGTGTGTCATATTTGTCCCAAGGAATTCCCACATGGCACACTTAATGGAATTTAAAAAATGTGTTCGTAACACATGACTGATCCTGTCCTATCCTATTATCTGAAATGTTATCTCAGATTTTCAATATGGCATATCCACTGTGTTGCTCATCCAACTCTTGCTCAATAGGCATGCCTCTGCTTGCTAAAGGAGTGCTGTTCAACTTTAACCAAAATATCTGCCTCTCAAAAAGACCACAGTACAGTAGTTGTGCAGACTGTACTTTACTGTAGACTCCCTTGAACTTAATATCTGGTCTTGACAAAAAGGGAAACTCCCTTGACTGGACTTTTTGACACCAATGAAGCAATGGTAGGAAAGTCCATATCATTCCTGGTAATGTAGAGAGGAGGAAGGTACATACAAAGCTGTCCTCAACCTGATGGCTTTGTTTACAATAGTAAATGTATTGTTCTGTGTACTATTACGTTCACAATTTATAACACAAAGTAGTCCACCTACTGTGTACACATTTAAATAATAAACTAAAACAAACACTACAACATAAACCAGCCCCTGATACCTCATATTCCACCACATTAAATTGTGAATGAGACAACATTGTTCTAGTTAAGCTGCTTCAACATAACCAGGGCTATACATGTACAAATTCAACAGTCAACAGGAGATAAATGGGCTAGACACTGGAACCTGAATAAAACAAAACATCTATTTTGGGAGCTATATGTGGGCTCATTATTACTGTACATTCACACATAGCAAACACTCTTTACCATTCAGTCATGCTAGTATTACAGTAGTGAAACTCATTTACACTCATTCAAACACTACAGTACTATTTTTACACAGCCCAATGCCCCAAGTCCAGCTACTTTGAGAGCAAGTTAAAACGAAAACAAAAATGTTTTTTTCCAGCATTTTCTAAAGGTTATGAGTCTTAATGTGTTAATGGACAATATGTTGTCTTACCATTAACTGAATCCAGAAATTGTAAACCTTATCTAATCGCTATAGTTATTTTAAGACCAATCTATTTTCAAAGCTTAACTGAAAGGGAAAAAACACAGCCTCACTGCCTGCTATAATTTGCATGATGAATAGCCTGCTGTAAGTCCACTTTGTTTTTTCCCCTCTCAGAATTCCCCTGAATCATCAAGAGATCACTAGAAGTGTATCCTGGTGTAATTGTAGAGCAAAACCCTGACATATCAATATGTTTACAGTAGCTTCCTAAAGAAAAAGAGTGGACAAAAGACAGCTTGGTGTTCTGTTTCTTTCATTTAGTGAAAGAAACTTTTCATTATGAAAACAAACATGTCCTCAAAACTTGTGGCTCAGTATCACAAAGAAGGCCCCTATCTTGTTCAGGATATCCTTTTCCTTTTCACAGAATTCAACAAAACCTTAACAGGTATTTCAGTGTGGTAGTCTGGTCCAGTTCCCTTCCATTCATCCAATGAGCTGCTCTGAGGAGTCTTTGGAGTCAAGTGACTCTGTGCTGCTTCCCTGCTCTTGCTGGGCCTCGTGGAAACTGCACTCAATTGCTATTAATGTCGCGGGGTCATCTGAAGAATAAAATGAGTACAAATTAAATACTTTTTCAGTATATTTGTGATTGGCCTGATACACATCCTGTATTATGAATATCCCTCATGCAACCTGTTCATAATCTATCATGAAGTGCAGTAGTAATTACCTGTAGGGGTTCTGATTATCTGTGTTTTTGTGATAGTCTTTTTTGTCTTCTTTCTTTTCTGGTTGATTTTCATGCCCACAATGACGATGATGATGATGCAGAAGGATATCAGAACCACGCTGGTGACCACAGATAAGACCAATGGCCATGCCTGTTCAGTGTGATCTGATACAAAATAGCAAGAAATTATTTCTGGCTTTAAATAAAAATAAGAATTAAAGCTGTAGAGGAATAGAATCATGTCTTACCAGGTTGGTTTGGACGATGTACTGGACTAAGTGAAACATTAGCACACTTAATGTCAGTAAATGCAGTTCCCTTGGCCACAATGTTTTGATATGGTTTGGAACACCTAGTGAGAAAAATACAGTTACAGAAGAATTAAAATCCTTCTTCTGGATTATACAACAAACAAAATATGGCTTCAGTAACAGATGCTGTTTTTAGAGCAAGGTATATCTCACTTGATACTCCAGGGTTTACACATCTGGTGACTTTTATCGTTGAAGGTTCCATCTGGACATGGTCTGCAAGAACCTGTACAGACAAACATTCAGTTGACTCACTGTAACCTGTAATGAGTGTATGAGCTAAAGTCATGAGTTTTTTTTAGTTTACTTACGTTCCTTTGTAGGTTCCTGACCTCTGTCACACTTGTCAATACAGAAGGAACAGCGGTCATCACCACAGATGAGTCCTTCCATACAGCCACACTTTGTGTCAGTTGTGGCTGTGCATTGTTCAACTTGGACTTGAGGTACTACTCATACAAAGAGATGGAAAGAGGGTTGGAAAATAGTGTAATTGTACAAAATTCAGCTTCTAGTAAACTACTGAAAAAAATGTCTTATGCACTTTTATGACCAGAAGAATCTGTTAACATACCTATACACTGTGTACACCTTGCACACCTGAATTCTTTAGGTTTCACTGTATATGTCCTTGGCTCACAAGGAATACAGAGTTCTTTTGGGCTCCGACCACACTCTTTGACCAGGCGGTTTCCTACAAACAAAGACACAGAACAGACATCAATAGCTTTAGTGTGAGCTCTGTCACTTTAGCTGACATTAGTGACAAAGCTTATTCCATATTGTAGCATAAAGTAAAATGACTCTAGTTTAAATGTAGCACAGGAAAGCTATAAGAAACTTACTGTTGAAAACAGAAAGGTTTTGGGAAAACAACTTTGGCAGCCTGCAGTTAACAAAACTATACTGTTTTGGAATTGTAATGACATACAAGTAAATGTCACAGCTCCAAATTATTTGATTTATTGGTTACACCATCCCAGCCTTTTGTCTTTGTTGTGGTATTAGCTGAAAAACCACTGAAACTATATTTGGTTACAAGCAACCACCATGGAGGAAATCTTCAAGATCTGGAATACGATTTTTTCTTTCCAAAAGCACATTCAACTCATCTACTATCTAGCTAAACAGTGTTTCATTAAGAACAGTGCTGTTTTTATTGTGATACTTGTAAAACCATTCAGATAGGAATGATACATACAACATATTGACCTGTAGAGCCTTTGTAAAAAAAAAAAACACTCTTCTGAACTAACAGCACATTTCAGCAATTCAAAATCATACATCACACATGTAATTGTTGTTATGTCCTTTATTACTTACCAGGATGACAGGCTTCACAACAAACATTTTCTCCAACAGGTTTCCATTTCATGCAGCCTCTGTCAGTCTGTCCAACACTGCACAAACTGCCCTGCATGAGCAGAAAGACACCCATAGTCCACAGGATCACAGCCATACTGTTGTCAGCTCTCTAGCGTGAGGTAATCCAATCCAAGAAATTATACCAGGTACCTAATCTGTTTTAAAAAAACATTTAATTTTTTTTTCTCTAAATTTGTAGCTGTAGTCTAAAATACATAAACACCCTTAATATCTTTCTTAACCTAAATTCACTCAGTAGTGATGTTTCAGGGTTAAAAATGAATTATGTAATATGCAGAAGTCTCTCTGTGGTATGACCTGTTCACAACTGACTCACAACACAATCAGCTGAGCATTTTACTCTGCTCTTTAGGGGGGCGTGGTTTATGTGGCAATCAGAGGAGGTGGCCGGTGTTTACAGCGATGTTGCTTAACTGTAACATGTTTGCATTTCATTTTACTCATTTAAAAAATAAAAAAAAAAAAAATCACATACAGCAATATTGGAAATACCAGTATATTAGTATAATATATGTTATAAGAAAAGAAAGAAAAGAAAAACCATTATGAAACAGATCAGATTGCAATATTCTTCAATAGACCAGATCATTATTGTTTTTTTTGTGGATCATTGCTTTTCTTACTTCGCTCCTGGCGTGTAGCTATCAAACCAGTTCCACATTGTTCATTTAAACCGCTGACAGACGTTCAACAATCAGACACTTACTTAAAGATTTAGATCACAGCTTTGGACTTGTTATTGCTGCTAACTTGCTGCACTTGTTCGTACCTGCTAAACCACAGTTCCTAGGTTGTGATAACAAACTGGTGTGTTATAAATGGGTCTGTGCCATACAAGCATTGCTGTGGCTTTTTCATGGACTGAACTGTACTAGAAGACATTTTAATTGTTTGTGTTTGTGGTGGCACAATGGCTCTTTTACAGTAGCCAAATGTAACATAAAGTGACTGCTTGAGAAGTTTTCAGAAGAGCTGTTTTTGTTTGAGTAGTTATACTTATCATACCAGAGTTAATGTTAAGTTAAGTAACTGTACTTTAGCTTTAATCTTCCTAGCCTCTATGATATGTAAATTACACTGTAGTTTCATTTTATTAAGTCAATGCCATACTGCATGGTTTGTTAATCAAAGCAGAGAAAGGGGTTTAAGCTGTTTGTTTGTGGGATGGGACTTTCCTGTGTTAAATCATTGTCTCAAGGAAAACAATAGAAATTGGAACCATAAAACTTATAAAGAAGTTTTACGGCTTTAAAAAAGTTATAAAAACTTTGACATGTATTTTTCAGTATAAAATGTTATTTAATATAGTAACCGAAAAGGAAATATCACATTATTTGCAATAGAGGAAGTATCATTGTTATTGAGTCCATGTGATTGATCCTGATTAGTCATGTTACAAGTTACTCTTGCACATAGTCACGAGTTTAGAGGGCACAAACTAAAAAGTTTATAATTTTCCTGTCTGCTCTTATCACCTACTATAGTAAAGCTACTATATGTCTGGTGACACACATTTCTTATTATAGGGAAACTGAAACAAAAAGCATGCATGAATACTTCTCTGTACAAAATGAAAGTGTGGTATTATAAAGATTATTCATTTGTTGTGTGACCTTCAGTGCATGGTTGATGTGATCATTCCCAAAAGAAGGTCATATTAATTTCCTTTTAAAAGGGAACTTGTTTTTCCTTACAGTAAGTGCTCATTTGACTTTTTGGAAAACGGGAAATTTGCTGAATAATGATGAGATAACTGCGCCTTAACCTTGCTCTCATCCTCTGACTCAGCTTAAATTCCCACACTTAGAAAGAAAAAAAAAAGATGCGCGTCATGCTTGTGATGCATCATGGTCGTAAGACAACTGACAAGTCATTGACATTTGTTGTTTTATAGTTGTTCACTTTTCGCCCTGACATTCAGCCTCAGCCTACCAAAGTTCGCCTACTTCGACAGCATATACGCATGTTACCTGAGACTCATGCAAAAGTCAGCACCTCACCAGCCTACGCACCCTCACCCTGGCCAAGAAACACCTCCCACACTTACCTTCAACCTCCCCCTACAATTCAGCTATGAAGCATAGTAAACCCCAGCAGCCCGATTAACATACTTGGGAAATACGTTTCGAGTTGTTCGGCAGTGCTGTTCATTCTGCTGGTAAATGGAGTGAGTGTGTGTGTGTCGGTGTGTGTGTGTGTTTGTGTATTTGCATGTAGGCTGACATGAGACTCAACCTGCAACTATGTCAGTTGTGACAGAAATCAGCGTCAAACCGGGACTACATGTTTTCACTTTAACTTGCACAGGGTGTTATGAAGATAGTGACGGCGATCACACGTCGTCGTGCTCTTCTGTGGGCAGCAGGGTGCTCTTTAATCTGCCTCCGCGTGCGAGGGCGTCTAAAAGGCCCTAACATCACTTCCTTCCTGACAGACGTCTCATAGCCTAACGCTTATGTACTCGGAGGGTCTTGGAGAGGAGAGGTTCGGTGACACCAATTTACGTCAACGTCTTTAAACATCTGTGATTGGATGTGTCAAAGTCAAAAATGGGGGTCGGTCTGAGTTAAGCGGGCAGTTGAGCTTTTTTGAGAGTAACGTCAGCTGGGAAAGTACAAGATCTGCGCTGGTGCTCGGAAGTTCCACTCAAGGGTGTAAAGTGTCAGTGTGGTTGACACATTTGGTGATGTGGGGATATTATATTCTCAGTGAATCTGTAGGCTACATAGGCATGTACTGGCTTCAACAGTCATTGGTCAGCATGTAGACTTCCTGAGAAATGACCACCTACTTAATAGTGGGAGCTCAGTATTTTAAATGTTTCTACCTAATTCCACACAATTCTAATTTAATTTAATTATTGCCAGCAGTCATCTCCAATATACATTTTACATATCAAACTTCGAATTTAAGGAGTGAGGAGTGAATTGCACATTAAATGTCTCCATCTAGTGGTCCAGCTAAAAAACACAAGAGAGAAAAGTGCAGACACTTTTTTTAACATATATATTTTTATTCATATATATAATAAATTTCTATGTACAATTTATTCTTCTTTTGTAAAGAAACAAAATTAAAGAGAAAGCTTTGATTGCAAACAGTGTTTCATACTAAAGGGAGGGAGAGACAAAATGGAAAAGTGCTCAAAAAACTAGTGTCTGTTGGTTATTTCCCTCCTGTAACTATATTTTAGGTAGATACAAGAGGGGGTTACCATTGTTTTGCAAGGAGACCAGAATCTGAAGGCCAGGATTCCCCTTGAAGTCACTTTGAAGTTGTAAAATGAGAAGTGTCAGATGATAATCATGAAGAGATCTAAATCACTGACAGCTCCTACATTATTAAGAAATATCCACCACACAACGTGAGGCTTTGGCTTTCATCGCACTGACTCTTATCCGTGCTCACGCTCACTACGAAGGAAACAACCATGAGGCAAACTGGTTTATCTCATGTTAACTCTTTGCGTTCGCTTTCACAGCTGTGGTGGGTGTCCACTGTTTGCAATCCTGTTTGTAAGTTGATTTGCTTACTTAAATGTGTTATGGATGTCAGGGTATCACTGATACCTAATAATGATACATTCGACAAAGCACAGCTAGGACAGTGGAAACTGGCCACTGATTCACAAAGGGTGATGTCTGATTGTCTGTCAGTCAGCCGCAGTAGACAAAGTATGACACCATCAATGCAACATGATCACATAAATAACATCACAAAAATCATCCAGTGTACGGATTCTTCCTTTAAAAACATTGGCAAGAGGTAAATCCTCCCCCCAATAATGGTAATACTTTAAACAAAATGTATTAATAAAATTTATTTTCTTTAAAGCAGTTGAGACAGTCATGCAATATGCAGCCTAGTTAAACTAATGGCTGGCTACAGGGCCTCCCTTATGAAGTTGAAGAAATCCACGGATCGTGAACTGGTGAAGGTTAGCGTTTTAGTAGTTGGCAGGTAAGAGCTTAAATAAGCCGGTGGCAATGCCACAGTATAAAGGAAATGGGGCCAGAGGTTTGGTGTAACGCGCTAAATTGTATCAGTACGCACAGATACGAGTCAGGAGAACAATTCCAAGTTCTAGGCCCGGACAAATGTTCCTAAGTGCGGGCTGTAGTTGTCGGTCTGGGTCTGGGGGATTGAGATCCAGGCCCAGCCAGCTTAAAGGTCTTGCAGAACAGAAAATATCCTAGGTAGAGTACACACTCCCAAGAATGTCTGCGTGGCAGCTTTAAAGAATCACCACACTGAATACCACTCACGTTTCACAAACTGTACACGTCACGTCAATACAAAAGAGGGTTTTCAGCCACAGAGGACCCGTGCTTGTGTGAGAGACGACGCCCTCCTGTTGTGCACTTGCTGCCTGTATTCCTTTGCTCAGACATCAGAGGGAAAGACGGATAGCAGGGGGGTACGTAGAGGGCCAGTCAGTGTCTACACTTCTGAACTTAGAGACAGTCAGAGGCAAAGGATTGAGAGGGAAGAGAGAAGGGGGTGACTGGGGTTCGGGGAGAATTGTTTTGTGCTCGGTTCGTTTTAAAGGCACTGTCCTGTCACATGATGTCAACAAAGAACTCACAGGGATTGCCCATAGCATGCTGGAAGGACTGGCGACTGGCGGTGAGCTCAGGAGGAACGGCTGCTAACTCTCTCCCAGGAGGGGCTCCGGGGGGCGTGCTGCTGCTGACCGAGGTCTTGGGGGCCAGACGGGCCAGACAATAAGGGGGAGGCAAGCCTGGGGGGCCGTATGAGGACGCATGGCTTCGCTCGCTGTGGGCACATGAGCCTGGCCCCGGCTGGGTGAAGGGGGCGTGGCTGTAGGTGAAGGACGGGTGGCTGTTCTGTGAGACAGAGTGACTCCTGTGTGACTGACTGTGACTGAGACTTGATCTGGCGTGACTGTGACTGGAGACGGTGTGGCTGTGATGGCTCATTTGGCTGGCGGACCTATCACCGCGCCTCCCTCCACGGACGCGGGGCTCTGATTCGCTGCATGTTGACCTTTGACCCTTCTCCTGTGGGGAGGAGCGTCTACCTTTGCCTGCACTGGGGTTGGATCCACTGCTTCGGCTTCCTGGTGAGGAAAAAAAAACACAGACATTTTAGCTTGGCCTTCCACAATACAAGTACACTGAACAAATACAGTCAGCAGCTCCAACTCATCAGCTACAGCTGATTTAGACCACCTGGTTTTTCTACTGATTAATATTGAGGCAGAAGGTCACACATTAAACAAAATATATCATGAAGCTTAATGAAGCCTTCATGAACTGCAACAGACACTATACATCACATGACATGTTAAGTGAAAGAAGATCTTCTTGTATAAAACACAGTAAAATTAACATTAATATTAATAATAAAGTCATTATATATTATATGACTGCACTTTGTTTAAGGTGTGACGAGATATTTTCTTAGGCAATGTAGCAAGAGTCAACAGTCAAGGGCAAACATGATTATCTCAAAGGATCCTTCCCCAAGTTCCACCTGCAGCAGCTAACACCATGGGCTTCATCTGCTATTCATACAAACACTGAAACATTCACAGATTCTAAATATTAATATGATACACCTGCATCAGAAAGACATTTATACACAGCACCTTGTGGAAAATATAGAATAACACAAGATAGTTGTTCAAGAAAGTAATTATATTAACATTGTCAATTTTGTTTTAAAAGTAGCTTGGTGTCACGTGTCAATGCCGGTTATGCACACTGGTGGTGTCATACTGATAGAGGTGTACCACACTGTTGCAATATCAAACATTCCACGCCTCCTCTTCCGCAATGAGCCCAACAGTACTGGGTAAAGTGGTGCATGATTGCCCCCTATCAGTGAGAATGATAGCACAAGCCTCAGAGTGATCATCCTGCATCATGCACCTCCCAGCACAGTACGAATGCATGCCCAGAGGTGCAGAGAGGGAGAATGGACTGTCAGGAGAGTCACACACAGGATACACACAGACGAAGGGAGACGCATGGGACTGGCGGAGATAAAAAAAAAAAAAAAAAAACCTTAAAGCCACAGTATGATAGGTGGAGAATGTTGAGCACAAGAGATAGAGAGGAGGAATAGGCAAAGATGAAGAGGATGCACGGTGAGATAGAGAGAGTAAAGAGAAAGAGAGCATCAGAGGAGGAGAGGGGGTTAGCAGGCTTACCGGTTCCCCCAGTGTCCTGGGACTACCTCCTCCTTCAGTCTACCGTTGCCCAGCAGAAACAGAGGGAACAACAGAATTACACACACCTCCTAGCTCAGCCCTTTCCGCACTACCTAATGTACCCTACAACTGTAAATCTGTCCCGCATGGTCATACCTAATATTACACCTATGGCTGGTTTTGGTCTTCTCCTTGTCATCAACTAAAATAATCTTTAAGTTTTGGAGAAACTGCCCCTCCAAAATGCAAAAAAAAAACCCCACACATGCACTCTTTAAAACAAGCAGGCAGACACATAATAATACACGAATACGTGTTTGGAAGTGCCAAAAGAAACAAAACTACAAATTGAATTCATATAAAATACATAACATGACTATTCTTATCTTTGTCCATCTCTGTCCTTCCACGCTTCAAAGGTTGCAGATAAACCAACTGAAAGAGTGACAACCGGCTGAAAGCAAGACATGACGATGTCTGGATGAATCACTCAAAACAACGGAAATTAGACTGATAGATGGTAACATGTAACTTACCATTATCTGTCTGGACTGTCTGGTTTAAAATGTATACTACAAGCACACTATCACAGCCACCCACTTATGTACTGTACACACGCCCCTGGTTCTCCACTCTCCCTCAATGCAGATATCAAAAACCATGCAGCAGCGACACAAAGCACTAGCACGTTCTGATTCAAAATGAGAACAAAAGATCATTCGAGAACTGATGGAGAGCGATGGACTCGGTGTTGATCATTTCAAGCTGGCGATTCGTAATCACATGGTTAATCAGATTTTTTTTTTGCGTGTACACACCCAGTACTGCAGAGCTGTCCGCTGCATGACTCAAGATGCTCATGATTGACCTTGACAATACAGGACGCGTTTTAGAATACACATTAAGAAAAATGCAATCCAATGTCAACTTCCTGCCTCGTGAGCCAGAAAAGCTAACATTAGCATGAGTCAGACACTTGAATTAATACTGATGTCATATGTCAGGAATACTTAGATTAGGGAGAATGTCATGTTGCATGTTGAGTCAAATGATCACATTAATTAATGAAAGGCTGATGGAAAACTCAAAGGCCCCTCTTGCCCCCTCTTTTCATTGCTCACCCTCGCTGTGTTGGCTGCCTGCACTCCCACTGTGGAAACTGTGGCATGGGTCTGAGTATCCTGGCGGGAAGCTGGGGGGTGCGGAGGGAAAGGGAGGGTAGGGGAATGGCTGGCCGCCCAGGGGCCAAGGGTTGCTGGTGGGAGGGAGCGGTGCCAGAGTGTCCTGCTCAGAGCCTCCGCCGCTGGATCCCTCATTTAAATTGAGTGATGCCATGTCTTATTGGAGAGAAAACAGAACCAGAGAGGGAAAGATTTAGTACAATCCTCCTATTCATAAAAAAAGCCATACACATGGAGTTGCATGATTGACACATTGAGAGAAGTGGCTGTACTTTGGCAGAGGTCCCCGAAGGTATAGTAGCACTGCTCGGAGAAGGTGATTTTGTTGACGGTGTGTCTCAGGTAGCCATGTTTCAGCAGACTGCTCGCGTACTTCCTCGCATCTCGCCGGTCCTTGAATCCTTCTACTCTGGAGTAAAGCCAGTCCACTACGTCAGCACCTGACACAGCAACAAACACACACACACACACACACACACAGAGAGAAAGAGAGAGTGAGAGAGGGACATGTGGCTCCTGCTCTAATGTGTTGAACAGATGCTAAAAATACTGTCAATATGCATAACAACCACAGTGGTTACACGTAGACAAGCAGCACAATGATGCAAGAACTTTGAAAAAACAAGTTGGTGGAGTTAATGCCCCAGTTATGCATGATTCTTTTCAGGCCTCATACTTTGTGGGTAGAAAAACAATTAAATTATCAATGATGCTGTTTGTTGTATTTAGGAACAATAAACTGTCTCAAAAAAATAACTTGGATGGATTTGAGAAAAATATGTGATTACAGATTTTTATTATTTTTAGAGTTGCTTTTTAAATTTCACCTTTGTAATTCAACTTTTTACTATTTAGAAAAAGGCAAATAAACATATTCATTCTGTTTATTCATCCTTTTTGAGTGTTTATTTTCAAGAGTTACTGGGCCAATATTGCTGATAGTCGGTACCAAGGTTCAGAAAAGCGTATAGATCTAACACAGATCTGTGTATTTCTCCAAACTACATGCTAGTTACAGTAAAGTACTTGGCTGTACACCAGAGTTTTGGTTTTAGTGTTGTGAGTGCCCACACAGCTCAGCTTTTCTCACCAATGACAGCGTTGGCAATGGTGATCTTCAACCACATCCTGTCTCGAATCTCTAGGCCAGAGTCAGGCAACTGCATCACTTTGACGATGGTGGCCATGTCTGTTTTACTTGCAGACAGAGGCAAGTCATCAAACTCTGGGATGGGAGAGGAGTTTATGAGAAAACACTGACAAGCTGAACTTTTCAATTTTTTAAAATGTTGTAAGGTTATCATAATTACCACAGAATTGATGTTTCATAGTGTGTGATGGAGGAGGTGGTTGGTTGTCTTTACCATAGTGTGGGTAAGGTCCTGTCAGGGCGGTGGTGTGTGAAATCCAGGCTGCAGGGTCAATGGGTCTCACTGGCTCAGCTGAACAAATGAAACAAATAAGGCAACTTTGAGAAAAGATACAAACTGTAAAACATCATCCTGCTCAGGGATATCAGTTACATTGCTCTGTATGTAATAAAAAATAATGATTTCTAATGAAAATTAGATATGTATGATTGCAATAAAGCACTAGTGTCTGTCTTACCGCGAGGAATGGTGAAGTAGCTTCGTGGAGACGGGTCCCAACATTTGGCAACAGTAAGACTAATAGGACTGGAGAAAAAGCAAATTAAAAATCTGTTTAAATAGATATAGTAAAGAAGTTTGGTGAAGCCAAGTACAACAAACAGGAGTTTACTGTCCACTACACTTCACTGACTACATTACTTTATCACTGCTGTCAGATGTGAAACTGCTGACATCTATCTACTGTTTTAATCATCAGCTCAGAGGTAAAGTCTGTTTTTCGGTGGAAAGTACTCAAGTCACCACAAGTCACTAAATGACACCACAGTTTAATCTGCATATTCAAACTGTAAAGAATTAGTGTACAATATTATATGTACTATAAAAGCTCACTCTAAACTGGTGTAACTATCAGGAGACAGAGGCAGGACAGTGGCTGATACCAGCTCAGAAAGTCACAAGTATTCTTTTAGAAAAAGTCTCCAAATCTACTGTAGCAATAAACATGTTGTTTTGGCAACAATGGATAAACTGTAGGGATATGCTTGTATTTTAGAGTCATGATTTTCTCAATAGGCTTTCCTTTAATTCTTTAAATCCTTTGAATACTCAAACGGCACCCCATCAGATTTACGCTTTAGTCTGAAGTGTAAGATTACACCCTACATACAGTAAGTTATGCTCTCAATGTGATAATCTTCTGCAGCAGAGTTAAATACCCACAATGCTCTGTGGTTGGTCTGAGCCAGCTGTATGTTCTTACCCAGTTTTGGAAACAATCTCTCTGAGGATCCTCACAGCATCATCATTGCTCATGTTCTCAAAGTTTACGTCATTCACCTGGTTGAAAGACAGCAAAATGTATAATTGGCTAATTATATCAAATAACATTCCATTATTATACAATGTGTTTTCATGAGAAAAAAATTCTTTTGAGAGGGCTCAGATGTGTTTATGCACTTGTACTGTGCGCATTCATCTTTGAAGTGCTCTTAGACCTTTAGATTCCTGGAAATCCTAAGCTGCTTTCAATGGGAAACAGTCAAAATAAAAACTATATTGTGAATGTTGGGGCAACAGCAACTTGTAATCAGTCCTTGTGTGTTTCATAGTGGGTGTAGCCGTAGCGCTCTGCTGTACAGAGATGAAAAGAGAGGCAATAACAGGAAGGAAAAGGAGAGGCAGAATTACAACTTCTACAAAAGAGCCTCGTAACAGTAGTGAATACAACATTGAGGTTGTTAATTAGCCACAAAACCTCAGACAGAACTACAGTCATCTCCCTATATGTCGTTTTAGGCTTTCACACTGTACGAACAGCGGCAACTGCTGGTGTACCTGGAGGAGCATGTCTCCGGGTTCTATTCTTCCATCAGCGGCCACAGCTCCTCCTTTCATGATAGAGCCGATGTAAATGCCGCCGTCTCCCCGGTCATTACTCTGACCAACAATACTGATACCCAAAAAGTTGTACTTCTCTGTCAGGGAAAAAGCAAGGAATGAGTATGAGCACAGTATCAGGTCTGGAAAACAAAGTGACAAATAGTACATTAAAACTTATAAATAAATCCTAGTTATGGAAATGTCAGGTTTACCCATGTTGAGTGTGACGGTGATGATGTTGAGGCTCATGGTGGAGTCTGTGATACTGCTGAAGGAGGAAGACTGGAAAGGTAGGCAAGGCGAGAAGATACCATAAGTAAAGCACATCACACATACACACTCAGTCAGCCATCTCATCTGTGTCTCATGTTCAGTGACAATTTCAATTTCAGCAGGGGCAGTGATGTGTCTCTGAGGCGCTCACCCGATCTATTTTGGCCACTTTGTGCCTCCGTCGGCGTCGCTTATGTCTGCGCATCAGCTGTGAAGAGGAACTCTGTTCAGTGGAGCTACTGAGCCTGAAACACAGGGAGAGAGAGAAAATAATGAAATGGAAAGGAAGAAAGAGGAGACAAAGATAGGATAGAATAAGAAGGAAAAAATTAGAATTAGAAAAAGTACTATCTACTATGGGGACTGTGCAGAAATGACTGTGTGATGTACAGGAGATAAAATAAAATAAAACATTTGCTGTAAATACAATAGCATTGTACATTACAGAAGCCTATTCTCCCTTGCATGTTGCATCCACAACACACATGCTCTGTAAATTGCTTTGAAAAATGCTGACAATGCTGGTATTTGGTCATCTGTATTTATCTTAATATGACTGACTTATGTAGCTGATTGTGATTTAAAGTAGGTCCAGCCTGAGTTGCTGGTGGATCGGCCATGACTAGAGCTGAAACAATTAATTGATAAATCAATTAAATGAAAGAAAATTTTGCATCACCGGTCATTTGGGTCATTTATTAAGCAAAAACATTTGCTAATTCAAGCTTCACAAATGTGAGTGTTTTCTGCTCTTCATGTGTTTTATATCTTGTTGGCTTCTGGGAAATTGTGACAGGCATTTTTAAATAAATTCTGACATTTTGTGATTAATACAGAAAAATAATAAATTAACTAATAAGTAAAATAACAGGTAGTTGCAGCCCTAGCCACAACAAATTCAAAATATATCATGTGTCAGGTGAAACATGGTTGGAAAACATTTTATGGTTTTTATTAAATCCTTTTTATTAAACCCAACAGATGGTTTGAGAAACAAACAAAAACTACTGATTATCTGGATAGAGCAGAAATACATTTTGATGTGAGGTAGAATATTACCTGCTAGCATCCTCGTCTTCCTCACTGTCAACAAATGAGCTGGACTCCAGCTCGCTGCTCATTACTGACGCGCTGTCGTACCCCATTGCTGAGTCCCTTGCAGTGCGCTCTGATTTTGAGTGACCATTGATGCGAGGGACTGAAGAGAGAAAGAGCAGAGCAGCAGTGAGTCAGGCGGGAGGTTGTGTTCCTCGTCGAGGGGTCAGATCAGAACGAGAGGGATCATCCAGGAGGAGAGGAAAGTCATTGTTAGTGAGAATGGTGGAACTGGGAAAAGATCACAGTTATCTGAACAACAGGGATGGAAGCAACAGAGGGGCCTTAATCTCTGATACTGCTGGATGACTTTATTATTATTGGAAATATGAACTAAAAAGCAGAACTTAATTTCAGCCAGACCTTACAGTAGAGTACAGGAATTACAAATAAATATTAAAAAGGGAAAAGTAATCATACAAACTTAACATACAGCTTGAGATTTATCTTTAATACAGTGCTTTACTGTACAAAGCTCTACATAAATCCACTCTCACAATTCCCAGTAGTGTACGACCATCCTGTCCATCTCCATACGTACATGGCCAGTGAGGTGGTGCTGTCTCAGGGTAACAGCGGATTGGCTGGAAAGGTCTGATATTGCGAAGAGGGCGCGGTAGCCAGCGTATTCGCCGAGAGCAAGCAAAACATTCCAGCAATGTGGTTGTTCCCATGGCTAGCTCCGCCCAGAAGGTGATTTTATGAAAGCTGAGCTACTGCACATAAGCACTCAATCAGCAGAGGGACATCCACTGTCAGGATTCACTCAAACATATTTCCTCCCACGCTCAGAGGACTGCCACACCAGAGGAGAGGGAAAAAAAAGAACAAGTGTGCAGGTTCACCAAGCCAGACTGAAATCTGTGTCTTTGTGCTTTGCGCCGTCTGTGCTAGCCGCTCTCTAAAACCCAGCCTGAGCCCCAGACGCCCCGACTGCCCACCGGCTGGCTGCTGACAGGCTTCACAGCTTATCTACAATAGAGGCAGTGACAAAAATATGGAATAAGAATAAAGATCCTCTGTGGAGAGTGGGCAGTAAGAAAACAAGAAGTGAGTACATTTTTGACTAGATGTGAAACTTTAGACACAACCATGACCTTTAAAAAGACTTTTGAAATAAGCTCGTTGCAAACATTCTCTGCTTTTTATTAACTTTGATCCTACAATAGATAAATAATGCACTCATCACATAAAGTCAATGCGTAACAGCTAAAACTGGTCATTTATCTACTGGTGGGTTATCATTACGTAAACAACATCATCTTATAAGCTTACGAGTTCAATAAATCTCTCTCCTCTCTCGCCCACCGCATTAAACTAACCACAAAATGTAATCACTTGCATATTCAACATTTTCAAATGTAAAATATCAATGACAGACATAACACAAAGAATCCTTCTCACCACAGCCGGCAGCATACCTTCATCTGATGCACAGATAAACTGAGCTGAGAGTCAGGAGAAAGTATTGCCTCCTCCCTCCCTCTGTCCCTCCCTCCCTCCCATGGCACGCAACTATAGAATGACTGCTAATCTGTCTCTGACCAATCAGATGACGTATTTCTCCAAAACAGAGATAATATGGGATTTCGGATGATGTGCTGTCCCATCTATGCCTCAGGTAAAAAACACCATCAGGTTACTGAAAGCCCAAACGCGTTTAGCAGCATCGAATCACAAAAAAGGATTTTAAGACACTTTTCATTACGGAGGACAGTTTCACCAGCTGCTTTTGTGCTTTGTGTTAATACTTTAATACAAGCATAAGTGCTTTGGCTTAGTCTTCTTTGACCTCAACCTTAAATCCCAGCAGCATGATGTTTAATGCAATGGCAATGCTTTTTTCTCCTTGTGGGTATTAAATGTTTCTGCTACAATGCAATAACTGAATATTAGAGTCTTGTCTTACAACAGGTTAAGATGCAGAGCACCTGGCGGCCTTGAAGGAGGTCATATCCCATAACTCCTGAACACCTGTTAACCCTCCTAAAATGTTCAACTGCTGCATTTTTCATCCATTCATTCTCAAACGCCACGGCACAGACAGATAATAAGAAGGGATATGTTTACCAGGGCTGAACAATTTAACTGATTGCTGTAAAGCAACTGGCATTCACACCGAGACAAAATCACTTGGAGCGTGTGTATAAGGTGACAGGGGAATTCCTGCTGCTGCTGATGCTGCAGGCAGCAAGGTAAAGAGGCGGGGCTACTTGCTATTTCTTTATATGTCTTTACATGCAAGCCACGTGACTGTGACAGCAGCCACTGAGCCAACACAGCCCAATTGAATTGCATTACGTGGGGTCTTACTTGCTAGATCTGTGAGCCATGAAACTGCCGGGTGTGTGTGTGTGTGTGAGAGAGAGGGGGGGGGGGATAATAATTCTCTACTTCTACTTCTACTTCTCTCTGTCTTCTGTATGATAGTGTCAAGGTCAGTAAACACAGAGGAAGATGGAGGACAGGAACAAACTACATTAGGCTTGAGGTATTTCCACATCACGCACAGAACAGATGTGCAGTTGGCAGTTAGCAGCAGTGGATCTGATGTGGTGAGCGCCAACAAAATGTTGCCAAGTCAACAACACTGTCACAGATGCACGGGAATAGTGATATCAATGGAGATGATTATGCAGTTATTCTGCTAGGATATAGCTAAATTTGATTCCAGCATTCCAGACCGTTGCAGCTCTTCCTGCAACCTCAACCTGATGCTGTATTCTGTGCTTCTAATTGCATAATGAGCCTGGAGCGCAGGATGCAAAGAGCCAGGCTTGCTGTGAAGATAGGACAAGGGGAGTAGAAACAGAGACAGGGAGAGAAAGAAAGAAACAACTGGCTTTGCTGTGAGTCAAACAGCAGACTGCAAGAATCAGAAGTTGCTGATTTATTACTTCCTGCCATAAAAACTAATTCTGCCAAAATGTCAGTGTGGTGAGGGCAGGAATAGAATAAAGCGGATATCTCAAAATATTTCAAGTATGATTGTGCTAATAACAGAACACACCTTTTCCTGCACCACCAGTATACCCTGTTCTCTGTTGTGGACAGCGCAGACGTGTGATGTTGCCTGGCAGGCTCTCAAATTAAAAACATTGAGCCTGTAAAGGAGAGGAGCTCTTTTGAAGGAGCAGGAAGAAAGCCATCCTTCTCCCATCAAAGTGATTTCAATAAAAAATTGCTGCGGCCAAATGTCAGAACAGTAAAGCAGATGTGTTCGCACTTGATAAGGCTTCTCGGGGGCTTTCACAATCAGGATCCTAAAAGTTTCTTTTCCGAGTAGCCTGTAGATGGTTGCTGCAAACGACTTTCCTCTGATATTTCACAAAACACTAGTGTCTTCTGACAGGGTATAATCATCGTACAAGACTGGAGTGTGACTACCAAGTGGAAAACACCCACTGACCATAAACCTGAGCCACACAGAGGAAACAGAAGAAGGACAATTATTGAGAAAGACAGTGAATTCTAGAATCTTTGACATACAGTGAACTTTTTCTCTTCACTCTTCTTAGAATTTGAATATCTATCTGTTTCTTGGTCTCACATAGCTAAAGTTCAACCGACATCATGTGATCCCTGAGGGCCTTTTTTTCTGTCTGCTGTCTGTCCACTTTTTGTGTGTGAGTGACTTGTGCAGAGTGAGTAAGCTCAGAATTCAGTGAGAGGCACTGAAATGTAATAACTTCGAAATGACAAGATAATTGCATTTTTAGGATCCATCTGTTCCTGGCTGATAATACTCACGCTCAGTTTCTCGAGCTCTCCTCCGTGCCCGCTCTCTCTCTCGCTCTCTGCGGTGGCTCAGGAGAGACTCTGTACCCGTCTCGGTGTCCAGGCCATCTCGACTGCTCACCGCATTGGCACTGCAGTACACACATTGGAAAACTTCAGTCAGATTCATAATGATGGACAAAACACACAGTCTCTCTGTCTCTCTAACAGAAAAGTCTTTCAAATTAATTCTCTAGCCAACCTGAAACACTCCTGAACATAATCCCCAGCTACAATATACTCCCGTCTGTTATAATATCTGTTTGCCTGCCATTCAGCCTTAGGGGAATATGCAACTCATATTATGACTCTGTTTCGAATTCAATCCCTCTGGTCAAAATAGCAGTTTCATTGTTCTGTGGTATGTGATGTGTTTTTCACTAACTGTCATTAATGACCAGATACCCTGAGAGGGAGCCATTCTGGACAATACTGGCATTAATGAGACCTATTGAAAGCCCAGATGGTGCCTGGAGCATGATTGGGAGAGAGACAGCGAGGGGAGAATGACAGATTGCATAAAAAAGCGAGAAGTGGTAGATCAGGTGTGGGCTGAGCAATAAGCCGGCCTGTGTACTTGGGGTCTAGGAGGAGTCTGGGGGTTATGGAGGGGCTGGAGGGCAGATTGTTATTCTGTCAGAGGGCTGGAGACGCTGTGGCCTCAGGCACCAGGGTTAAGGGACTTACACAGCCACCGGGCACCTAAGAAACCTGAAGCTGGTGAGAACTCTACTCAACCCTGTCAGTCTGTCACACACACTTAGGCATGTGTGCAACATGTACCTTACACCTGTATAAATAATCACACTTCCATGCAAGCGCATTCATGCATTCATACACATTCATGGCAGTGCTCATATACAAACAGTGTCTCTTTTAAACGCATTGGTTCTGCTTATACAGTGTGGATATCATAGAGTATAAACAGAACAAAAACACAATCATCACCCTGCAATGGTTTAAAAACAATGTTCTCACACACCTCAGCGACGATGTGAGGATGATCAATGCAAATTAAAAACACAAGAGCAGACAGGATGCTGTGTCTGCTGTGTTCACTCAGCAGGATAAAGTGCTCAATGAGGCATGCTTACACGCTTCTGCTACGGAGTACTAATGGGTCCACCTGGGCCAGGCTTCACCAGCGCAGGTCAGTGCATGTATGCAAATATCACCGAAGATGCATAGTTTGGATGCATTTCTATCGTTAGGGATTGGGAAGCAGTGTGATGATTGATGCGGTGGTGACTCCCTGCCTGTCAGGCTGTCGATGGCTGCTGACCAGCCAGGCGGCAGGTCTGCTGATCCAGGGGGAGATTATCCAAGGCGCTAGACTGCAGCTGTGAACAAATGCCACCCCTTTTCAACCCCCCCACCTGACCTCCCCTCCTCTCTCCCAATCGCCTCCCCCTCCCTCTTGGGAAATGGAGATGGGTGCTTTTAATGTCCGTTAATCCGGATTACCAGGCAGAGGCACATCAGTTGTGTCCATTCTCAGCCCAAAACACCTATTCTGTTTGCTCATCAAATAGAGCCATTCACGCCGACAAACACATGAAATGCATGAATAAAGCACAAAGAGAAATGAAGTGGTAATAATATTCTAGCTATTTACAGACAGAGGTAAAGGGTGGAAGACTGGATTCATTTCAGAAAGAGAGGAGGTCCGCTATAGGGAATTCACCACACTGTTTCCCTGAGAGAAAGGCCTGCCTGTCTGACTCAAAGAGGAAAAGAGAAAGGGAGAGTGAGGGTGGGGGCGGGGGGAAATTACGTGGGGTAAGGGGGCTGGGACACTGTCGTTTTCCTCCACAAGGTGGCAGTAGTCCCAGTGAAAGCTGGCTGGGAACAATAAAATCATCAGGACAGCTGACAGCCAAACAGCAGGGAGCAGTCCATAGAGGGCAAAAGCGAGCTGAGATGTCAAACACTGGATAAAGAGATACACTGAGACATGACAGATTGCATGTTCTCAATATAGAGCCTCAGCCATATTGCTCTAGCGCTGTAATGGCAACAACCCTCGCCCCCATTGCCCCCAGCCCTTCTAGCTATATTTAGCGTTGGACTTCTCCTTAGCAAGTGCAGTGATATTCTCTAATCTGCCAGTTTGAAATCAAAGTCTGGGCTCAGGTAAAAGTCATCAGGCTATCAAAAAAAAAAAAAAAAAAAATCCATTTCTGAGCTTTTAGGCACCAATGTGTTTTTTCGGGGCCACAAATGCCTTTATTAACCGAGTATGGATGAATGCTCTTAGTGACTGAATACAATGAGCCTCACTGAGTGCCAGTATTCGCCTGAAGATGTGTATGCTATGAAGGCTATTTCAAGAATCAGCAGCACTCGCGGCGTACGCATCATGTTTACATAGATGAGCGGACTAACGCCTTACTCCATGGTTGAGTGGGCGGGAGGGAACATACACACTAGTGGGAGAAATACTCACATCCATGCATGTTCCCACACTCAAGCTTTAGCACATACTTCATGGCATAAATCACACACAGGCTTACAGACCACCTACACCTCCCATACGATCCTATGATGACAAATCTTTCTGATGAGCTTTCCACATTCTGATTAGCACATATGGCACGCTGTGAAATAAAAAGGTCACCCAGTGCACAGGATTGTGTGCTTGAATACATCTGCCTACATCGCCG